AAAGCAAAGAATCTTCGACTTTCAACCAACCAGCATATTTACGTTCGAACAGTAACGCGATATCCGTTTGATTATCGATATGCGAATCCTTTGGCCAAAAGGAAAATCAAGCGTCCTTTAACTCGATCGAGAAAGGTGACAGGTTACGAGACAAGAAGGTCATGACGGGTCGGTAGAGCGATGACAGGGGCTTCCTCGGCTAGCCAACGTCACCTCGTCCTCTTCGAGAACGTGCTCTCAGGGTTTTTCGGGGGATGACAGAGTGAGAGAGAGAGAGAGAGAGAGGGAGGGGATGAGAGTGGCGAGAAGGAAGAAGAAGCGCGTTGAAGAGAAAGCTCGTTGCCGCGTGAGAGGGGGTGTGAGCGCAGGGGTGAAACGTAGAAGTTGGAGGTTAGGCTAGGGGTTAGATAGGATAGGGTGTGTCGTCATGGCTACGCAGCAGGGGGCGGGGCAATCGATACACCCTCGCCTCACGCACTAAGCACACGCAATGCGTTTATAACACAATGAAACAATGACGACCACCGCAGCAAAGGAAGGACGTTAAGGGACTCGGAGGGGTGGCTTATGGGGGTGGGAGGGGAGTACCATTGCGCCTTCTACTTCCGAATATATGGATACACACGACACATATTCAACGACACTTTCCAGTTTGTGCCACGATTGTTCTCGATGATCGACGCGATCGTCGCCGAAACTCCGTAGATGTGCACAGTTCGGTTCGTTTCTCACTTGCATTTGTGTATTTACGTATCTGTCGGATCTTGTTACGCCTATTTGTAGATTGTTCCTTGTCAGAGAGGAACGTTCAACGAGCTGTTGAAGTTCTTCGAATTTGCTGATGGTTCTTGGGAAGATTAGGCCTGTTGCTTTTGCAGATTCCGTATCGATCGTCGTGAGCGACGACGTTGAAAACGATCAGCCTCGGTATTTCGGTGAGCGTTAAGCACGAGGAAGGTAAATTGGCTGGTCGGAAGACAAAATCGGATCGAGGCATAACCGGCTCTATTGTCATTCGGAGCGGCGAAAATCTCGCTAGGCTCGGATCCTGGCGCGCCGTTTCCAAGATCGTGTAACGAAATCGCCATTGTCCCAGCCCGGACAGAGCCTCCCTTCCCTTTTCTTCCTTTTTTCCTTTTCTTTTTTCCGCCCCCGGAGAAGATTTTCGAGCGTTTCATCTTGCGCGGCGCGGCAGCAACAATGCGAACCGGCACCGCCGACAATAGCCGGGAACCACCTGAAAACTTACTCGGACAATGAGCTCTCGAGTGTATCATTCGGTCGTTTATGAGCTCGCGCTCGTTTATCATTAGACCAACCGACATTTTTCATCGCCGTGGCAACGCGTGGCGATTTCGAAGGGTTTCTTTTCTATTCTCCGTTTTCTTTTTTTTTTTCTTTTTCTTCCGAATCACTTTTTAACATCTCGTTTCATTATCCAAATCCAATGGCGAATAATTGAACGGGGGACATGTCCGCAGATGCGGCCTTAGGTAGCTGGGACAGGTTGCTCTCCGATAGGTTCGTGGTTTGCAGGGGACGAGGAAACTTCGTCGAGGGACGATTTTCAAAGTTTCCACTTTCCCAGACGAGGTAAAAAAAGGGGCCATCGGGGTGAAAAGTACAGGCCGCGAGTAACGATAGCGGTGCGAGTTCGTGATTCACGGGACAAGAGTGTAGCCTCGAACCGGCGATCACGATAATAGAAAGTTATCTGGTTGGAAGTCATAGATTGACTCGAAGATACATTCGTGTACTGCAACGATAGGATCGCTTTCGGGCCGGGGAGGGTCTGACAAAGGACAGAAGGTGCAAAGGTGAAGCGGTTCGCACGGTGTGATCCAGCTGGTAACGTTTTAC